CTACTCCCGCACGCTGACCACTAGAGGGCAGAGCGCCACCAGAGTTTTTAAGAATACCGTTGGGCACAGTTTTCTGCGTCGGGCCGAGATGGCTGGCGTTACCTCCTCCGTTGTAAGGACCGGCGGCAGCTGAAGAAGAGTGTGATAATGATGACATTGACGCTGGGTGATGTAACGGCCCGACAGGGAGATGTGACGATGACGGTGACGTGACAGAGTTCTTTTCCGCGAGGACACCTGTCGTCATCGACGATGATGAAGATAACATAGAGGGTGACAACAACACGGATGAAGACGGCGATGATGATGGATCGGGCAGCTCAGCAGGGTCTGAGACGATCTTCCTCTGCACGTTTTCCCACAGAGTTTGGCCCTGGGCTGCGCCATCAGACAGAACCGCCTGCCATCTGTCCGAGCTCGGCCCGCTTCCTCCACGACTCGTGTTCGAATCCGTCCTGGTCACTGTCGCCTTCCCAGCCTGTTGCTGCTGCTCCTGTTGCTGCTGCTGCTGTTGTTGTTGTTGTGACGCCGCCTCGTTCTCTTCATCTTCCCCCCCACCACCACCACCTTTCTTTTTCGCATTCTTCTCTTTCTTCGATAGTTTTTTCTTCGACGTCGTTTTATTTTTGGACGAGTTTGAATCGGCTGCGGATTTACTGTCCGTACTGGGCTGTTGTTGAGACTTCTTCGCGTCTGCAGCTGCAGCTGTTATAGATGCCCCGGCTGCTGATGCTGTTGCTGCGGTATTACCCAGCTTTGCTGTTTGGGGAGGCGTCAGATTTTGTTGCTGCTGCTGCTGTTGCTGTTGTTGCTGCTGCTGATGTTGATTCATCCCCTGCACATTCCCCCCTAGAACAGGATGTTGTGACAGGAGATCTGTCGTCACACCTGCTGTAGAAGTCAACGGTTGTTGCTGTAGTTGTTGCGGCAGTGGTTGTAGTTGCGGTTGTGAGCGGAGGTGTGCGGGGGACGAAGGGGTTCTCAGCAGGGAGGAAGTGTTGGATGACGCCGCAGAGTCATCCGTGTTGTTGTTGATGTTGTTGCTGTTGATAGTGGTGTTGCTGTAGTAGTTGTTGTGGATCTGCGAGTGTTTAGGTGGCGGAAGGTTTTCGTACACGATGGGCCCGGACTTGGCCACGTTCCTCAAGTCGTACGTGATGAGAGTAGGCAGTTCGTCATCGTCATCATCATCATCGTCGTTATCAACATTATTACTATTGCTATTATTATTATTATTAACATTTCCATTTTGCTGCTGCTGTGGACAGGCTGACTGTTCCAAAGACAACGACGGCGGTTGCGGAGACAGAAGTTGCGGGGGTCGTTGAACCTGCTGCTGTTGCACTAGCCGCTGCTGAAGCTGAAAGTGCTGCTGCTGCTGCTGCTGAAGTTGCTGTAGCTGCAGCAGCTGCTGTTGGCGGACGTGCTGCTGCTGCAAAAGTTGCTGCTGCTGCGCCGGGTGCCACAGTTGCTGCTGCAGGTAATCCGGAATAAACGGCTGTTGCAGCTGCTGTTGTTGTTGCTGCTGTTGTTGTATCTGAGACGGTGACTGGTAGTATGGCACGGTAGATGGCGCAGCGGCCTGCTTGAAGTGGTAGGGTTGGGGCGTGTGAGACCGCACCAGCTTTGACGGTCTGTCAAAATAGAAAGGAGAGTTCATAGTAAAAAGCATTTATGCTACACATTTCAATTTTCTATTAAAATGCTCAATAATTTTTATAATAATAACAATAATACATAGCATTTATGCTGCGGATTTTCATTTTCTAAAAAAATGCTCAATAATAATTATTATTAT